GTGCCCCACACAGCAGCTCCGTATGAGAGAATCGGTTGCACAAGGTTTTCATATAACTTATTAAATACATCGTAAGCCATTCCTCCACTGGCTTTGAATTTACACACAATCACACCTAAGGCACGATGAGCAGACTTGGCTATTTCCTTGGCTGTGAAATTAAGATCTAGGTGTTCATGAAACCAAACACCAAGATATTTATATGCATGAGTATAACACACTTCATTTTCACCGATAGTGAAAGTAACACCTGATATACTGGAACCTCTTGACCGGAAATGGATAACTTGTGTTTTCTTCAAATTAACAGACATACGCCATTTAGTACACCAGGTATTTACACAATTTAACATCTTCTGTAGACAACTTTCGTCGGGTGCAATTAAGGCAATGTCGTCTGCATACAACAGAACACTTAGTTGATAATTACTTATATTAATCCCACAATTCAGACAGTTGATTTCATCCACAAGATGGTTGATATACACAGAAAAGAGTGTAGGGGAAAGCACACACCCTTGGCGCACACCAGAGTAGACTGGTTTGTGTACCAATTATTGACACTGACTCTAGACCACGTTGAGGCGTACATTGAATTCACAGCTCTTAGAAAGTTTCCTTTAATTCCGAGTTTGTTGAGCTTGTACCATAAGCAATCACGGTTAACTTTATCAAAGGCCTTTGAAATGTCGATAAAACAAACAAATGTTGTATTTTGTTAAGAAAATCTATGTCAGAAGTGTTCGGTCCGACTTGGCCCGGGCTGTCAAAATCAAATTAAACCGCACAGATGTATCATCAAATGGATTCACATCTATAGATTAGTATTATATCTACCTAAATACCACATTATAGTGTCTCAGATCGCGGTATTTAAAGAAAACAAGGGGCTCAAAGTGAAGCCCTTTTCCCTCTACATTCTCAACATAGTCTCTATCAGAAGTGTTTGGCTTGTTTGTGTTGGGACCGACTTGGCCCGGGCGGTAAAAATCTACTTTAAACACACAGATGTATCTTCAAATGTGTTTACATCTATAGATTAGTGTTATATCTACCTATATACCACTTTATAATGTCACAGTGTATGGCATTTAAAGAAAACTGGGCCGTTAAAGTCAAGCTCTTTTACTGTATTTTCTTAAGAAATATTATCAAATAAGAATATGTGATTGATCACTTACAGACTTTAATGGTTTCACAAAAGGAACGACGTATCTCTTCTGACATGCTTGATTGTATTGCAGTCATTACATTTCCCCAAGACTCTGCACCAGTTTGATATAACGATTGTTACAACAGTGGAATTGCTATAAACGCATTGACGCGCGAAAGGGACGCGGTAACTAAAGAATTAAAACATTAACATAAATACAATTGTTTTGTGGATTTTTTTAGATTTGGGGATATTGAGATCCCGCATTGTGTTATATGGCATAACGTGTTTAGTCAAAACACACACAGCCTCTGTTCCTTTTGGGACTTAAATCCGAATCCTGAGAACCTGTTGTGTTTACATTGACACACTTTTTCTCTGGAATGAGTAAGATACACATTTGAATTGGAACTCGAGTCTGCGGCGTGCTTAGCGATCACTATTACTGTAAGGCCACAATAGCACCCGAATAGGCCTCTGAAAAGCAACGCCACTGATTACGTTACTGATTGTTGTTTGAGACAACCAAACTGGAAATGACAACGTGACAGCAGAGATCACATCAGCAATAGGTATGGGTTTCATATGATTTATTTTGTAAAAATGCACTGAAGCGTAGTGTAATTCACTGTGGTTTGAATTCCAATATCTTCCAGATGAATAAATTATATCGCCAACTTGAACAAGGGGATATTATGTTGTGACAACGATAGTCTGCCGTCTGTTTATGTTTGTCACTGTGAATAGCCATGAACACAACGACGGAAATTATCATGAATAATTTGTTTCACGTTATTCTACTGCTTTACTGTCCAGATCATATTACACTGCATCATGAATAACACACCCCAAGTCAAATTAATGACACTTTGCATAATTGACACGATCGTTGAGTTTTGCCATAGTTAACGGTTGGTGTGAAATTTGATTCCATCATCTCCAGGACACGATGCTTGCCCATTGCCCATTGTCTTGCGAACTAAATCATTACGATCTACAATTAATGTTCCATTTGAATTCGTTATAACCGTAGTTTGCTGTATAAACTTACTTTGATATTCCCAATGATGCGTGGATGTTACTTAGTCTCTTGTGTGTCGGGGGCACGGGTGGCCCAGTCGTCTAAGACGCCGCGATTCGCTGTGCAGAGTTGAAGATACAAGCTTCTGATAGAGACTATGTTGAGAATGTAGAGGGGAAAGGGCTTCACCTTGAGCACCTTGTTTTCTTTAAATACGATGTACCGTGACATTATAAAGTGGTACATAGGTAGATTTAATAATAATCTATAGATGTAAACACATTTGATGATACATCTGTGTGTTTAAAGTCGATTTTGACAGCCCGGGCCAAGTCGGACCCAACACAAGCCAAACACTTCTGATCGAGACTATGTTGAGAATGTAGAGGGGAAAGGGCTTCACTTTGAGCCCCTTGTTTTCTTTAAATACGATGTACCGTGACATTATAAAGTGGTATATAGGTAGATATAATACTTAGCTATAGATGTGAATCCATTTGATAATACATCTGTGAGGTTTAAGTTGATTTTGACATTTTGTATTAAGAAAATACAGTAAAAGTGCTTGACTTTAACGGCTCAGATTTCTTTAAATGCGATACACTGGGACATTATAAAGTGGTACATAGGTAGATTTAATACTAATCTATAGATGTAAACACATTTGAAGATACATCTGTGTGTTTAAAGTCGATTTTGACAGCCCGGGCCAAGTCGGACCCAACACAAGCCAAACACTTCTGATTGAGACTATGTTGAGAATGTAGAGTGAAAGGGCTTCACTTTGAGCCCCTTGTTTTCTTTAAGTGCAGCCATCTGAGACACTATAAAGTGGTATTTAGGTGGATATAATACTAATCTATAGATGTGAATCCATTTGATGACACATCTGTGAGGTTTAATTTGATTTTGACAGCACGGGCCAAGTCGGACTGAACACTTCTGACTTGGATTTTCTTAAGAAAATACGGTAAAAGTGCTTCACTTTGAGCCCCTTGTTTTCTTTAAATACTGATGTACCGTGACATTATAAAGTGGTATATAGGTAGATATAATACTAATCTATAGATGTAACACATTTGAAGATACATCTGTGCGGTTTAAAGTCGATTGTGTCACAATATTCACTCACGTTTTCCTCAATCGCATTGAAACAAAATTCCCACTGGTCAGTTCGTCACCGCATGTAATTAAATAATTATTTCGAGATTTTGTTAGAATGTAAGATATTCAGCCAAACGTAATGCAATAAAAGACGAATAGTTTTTTTCATTAAAATACGCGCACGCGTACCTGTATATTTCATACCTACCCCATTAAACGATGATACACATCTTGATGAATATTTCAAGGCACTAATTCATCTTTCATAAACATTTGTTTGTCTTTGTGCTTAATATATCCACATATTAACGAACATTTGTAAAACATGTATCCACCAAAAAAAATAAACATTTTCAGGTTAGGTTTTTTTTCCCCACGGCAACACCTGCATAACTGTTTATTCACACGTGGTGTGGTAGATCGTAATTGACCGACAGCAGGTATATCTTTAAATAGTAATGTAATGATATAATATAAAGTATATTTAACACGATACAATATACTTTGCACACGGTTAGTTGATGCTTTAAAGGGACTGATGAAAACATGGGCGAAATATTTTAATAACGCCGTAAAATAGTTGAATCATGTGTCATGCTTGTAGACACACCTTAATGTATTTTCGCGAAACTAAAACTTTTGAGCAAAGGAAAATATTCTCGCCCATTGGCCAATCTTTCTCGTCCAGAGCGAAATATTTCAATAACGCCGTAAAATAGCTGAATTAAGTTAAAATTTGTTAAATTATGTGACATGAAACTTCTAAGAACACCTTTATGTATATGCAAAACTAAAACATGAGTTTTGAGCAAAGGGAAATATTCTCGCCCATGGGCCAAACCTTTTCTCGCCCATGGGCGAAATATTTCAATAACGCTATAAAATAGCTGAATTAAGTAAAATTGTGTTACATTATGTGCGATGAAAATGGTAAGAACACCCGCATGTATTTGCGAAACAAAAACATGAGTTTTGAGTAAAGGAAAATATTCTCGCCCATGGGCCAAACCTTTTTCTCGCCCATGGGCAAAATATTTCAATATCGCTATAAAATAGTTGAATTAAGTTAAAATGAGTTTAATTTTGTTACATTTTGTGTCATGATACTTGAATAAATACATTTAATGTATTTGCGAAACAAAAACATGAGTTTTGAGTAAAGGAACATATTCTCGCCCATGGGCCTGCCCATTGGCCATTCCTTTTTTCTCGCCCATGGGCGAAATATTTCAATATCGCTATTAAATCGTTGAATTAAGTTAAAATGAGTTAAATTTTGTGTCATGATACTTGAATGAATACATTTAATGTATTTGCGAAACAAAAACATGAGTTTTGGGTAAAGGAACATATTCTCGCCCATGGGCCAGTCTCCGCCCATGGGCAGGCCCATGGGCAGGCCCGTGGGCGAAATAGTGTAAATATTGGGTTTTTGAACACATTTTTTTTCATTTTTTCTTCCTTGGTATGTTCCCATGAAAACAGCATGTTTAATTTTGTAAATACCTTTAACCAGACTGGGCAAAGACCGCAGAGTTTCTGGACTTTTGGGTTTCCAGAATTAAAATGGGACGTGTTAACTTCAAATATAGAGAACTCTTTGGACCCCCACATAAACCAATCCATGCGTTCATGTTTTGGAATATTATGATTAAGTGCAACGTTAGTGATGAAAGAAGATACTTGATAGCCCAAAAAGCATTGTTTTGGCTTCATACTCACATCCAGGTGTCCCGGAAGTTGTGTTGTGGCACCCTGAAAAGGAAATAGAGGGAATTACAAATTCACAAAGATTAAATAATTCCTAATATTCTAGTCTGGTCATTCTCTGCCACAGATATAACGGCTTGGGGACAACCACCTAACGCACCAACACACCCAAATCATTGCACATACACTATGCACTTCCTCCGTGCGGGTTACAGCGAGGTCATGCTTACTTATGACCATACGCTGAAAGGTCAACAAAATCGGGCCGAGCCGTTGGTATTGTTGATTTTCATTATTTACAGTAACACGTAACGTCTCCACTTTGCGTGAATGCAATCCGGGGTAGAATAGGTCTTCAGCAACCCATGCTTGCCGTAAGAGGCGACTCTGCTTGTCGTTATAAGAGGCGACTAACGGGATCGGGTGGTCAGGCTCGCTGACTTGGTTGATGCATGTCATCGAGAAGTGTACGCCGACGTCAAAGGGAACCTGCTACGTTAGGCAAACAATCATGTGTGTGTGTGTGTGTGTGTGTGTGTGTGTGTGTGTGTGTGTGTGTGTGTGTGTGTGTGTGTGTGTGTGTGTTTGTGTGGTGGTGTGTGTGTGCATGGGAGTTTGGAAAATATTTACACTGCTTATTGTATCACAAACAGAATCTTCGGACTTTGACCAGACTGCATTTGTTAATTTGCAAATGATGTCATTTCATAGTGTAACATCGTGGGACTACGACGAATAAAATAATCACGTTATGGTCTCTTCGCGTGTGGCCGACACCTAAAGTTTCCATATTCAGGTGTCGTTGCATGATATTGATCCGTTATTTGTAGAAGTCTAGCCCCCAGTTACACAGTGCTGTCAGGTGTGTCCACTTATTCAGGTGTCGTTGCATGATATTGATCCGTTATTTGTAGATGTCTAGCCCCCAGTTACACAGTGCTGTCAGGTGTGTCCACTTATAATTAATGATACATTGACAACCGTTCACTTAGAACTATATCGACTGATACACTGAGTGGATAACAGTGGAGAAATATTAATACTTAATGTCTGAGTTCTCTCAGTATTTTAATTGTTGTGACAGTAACTGTGATGGTTTCGGCGAATTGTTTTCTTACAGCTGCATGGGTTTCCCACCCAGCCCAAAAATATAATTCAGGAGGATAAGGGGGTTAGGGTTGGGGCGTTTTAGTTTGTTCCTGGGCTGTGATCACTGTGAGCGAGTTGTACGGCGTCTGACTGTATGTGTGATATATCATTTGATAGTTTATAGTGTATTCCACATATGTTGGGCTTATTTTATCTTTCTCGAACTATACATAGCCAATGTAGCAAAATAGTAGCAGCCACCAATCTGTAGTCTGATTGGGGGGTTTACTCCCGCTATGCACGAACGTCTTGGTGTCTTAATCACGGCCCTGTTGTCACAAACATCTGATCATTTAGACGCTTTAATCTTGGACATTGAGAATACATTGAGAATGCATTGAGAAAGGTCAGAGAGTTTGACTGATGATCGTTCACGAATATCCTCGATACGACCCATCCTAGTGAACAAAATTGCACATCGTCTATCGCAGTATCGACTCCATCTTTGTCTCGACTGACAGTTACAGTCTACTTCAATCGAGACCGCCTCCGTGGTCTAGTTGTAGAGCGTCCGCCCGGAGAGCGGAAGGTCCGGGGTTCGATCCCCGACCGCGTCATACCAAAAGACGTTAAAAGATGGTACGTGTTGTTACCCTGTCTGGCGCTCGGCATTAAGGGGCTAAAACAAGGACTGCTCGGAGTCAGTATACTGTGTCTGAGTGGGGTATTCATGTTAAACTGCGGCATGGTATCTCATTGAGCTAGCACTATAAATCGGCATCAGCCCGGACTAGTACAAGCAGCCACACAAACACACACACGTACATGCACGTCGCTCTATAAGTGAAATCATCTTGGACGCGACGTTAAACCCAATTCACCTCACCCACTTCAATCGATGTGATAGAGTTGCTAATTATCTTAATAATGACTCGGACAGAGATTCAAAATGCATGATGCATAAGTTTAGTCTATTAACATAATTCGATAACCATACCACACCATTCAACCAATATTATACGCCTCTGAACTGCGGGGCGTTGTAAAGTCAGTTATGATTGAAAGAATCCATTTGACATATTTCAAGCGTATACTTAGAGTTAAGCAATCAACTCCAAGCTTTATTATTACAATCTACGAATTCTCACTGAACATATCTATGTCTGTATATGTGTACAGATGTATTTATATCCTCTCTGTATCACATGTTGTGATTTATGAGGATACACTTGAACTTGACCTGACCGACAATAACACGCAGAATGTACCCGGAAGGTTTACATGGGTTGTCATGACTACGTCCAATCAAGAGCGAGCAGGCATATCTATGGCCAGATGTTGGCAACACTTCAACAAATGTTGGCTACTAAGAAATGAAAAGTCTATATTGTTCAAATATAGAAATCACTCAACCGTGACGTTATAGCCTGTTTCGGTCTATAGCCTGACTGTGTTGGTTAGCCGCTGGACACAGTGTTAAGCTTTCAGTGCGACATATTCCAGGTGTCAGATTACCTGATCGACAAAACGGGATGTGGCTGTCAACTATACCAATTATTCTTTCTTACGCGACATGAGTGAGTGAGTGAGTATTTAACGTCACATCGGCAATATTTCAGCCATATCGTGACGAGAATTAATACATTAATAACATATAAGTATATATACTTTATAAAAACCTGTCATCAAAGGACAGTACAATAACTAGAATATCACAGAGTGTATTAAAGCTAGTTGAGGAACATATAAAAGCAGAAAGAATTTACAACACAATATAAAAATGGGCTAGAGATCGTCAGTAACTAATGGGAGATCACCATACCAGGGACCATGGGGACTTACAGTGCCTTTGCTTCCTGCATGGGCCCTGGCTGGATTTAATTTATATCATCCCTTCAGTCACTGGCGATAGTTTACCAGTTAAGCCTTAGATTAAAATGACAAAAATACTACGTTTTAAAATTCTGGTATGCATAACAATACATTGAATGATGTGGGACTGACATACCCTGTTAGGGGGACAATAATTTTACGCTACTTCAACCCCTTACGCGACATGAAATCATTTTGTTGTTACAGTACCAGTGGCTGCATACTTCAACTATTTAGATTTTTTTTAAAATTGCAAACAAATCGCTAATGCAGTGAGCGCCAAGGTAAATGTCAAAGTGCAACATCCAATTTTGTCTGCGTTATGGATTATCTCCCCTGCCTGCATATTTTTGTTTGTTTGTTTGTTTGTTTGTTGTTTAACGCCGCACTCAGCAATATTCCAGCTATATGACGGCGGTCTGTAAATAATCGAGTCTGGACAGACAATCCAGGGATTGACATCATGAGCATCGATCAACGTAATAGAGTTACGATGACATGCATCAACCAAGTCAGCGAGCCTGACCACCGGAACCCGTTAGTCGCCTCTTACGACAAACATAGTCGCCTTTTACGGCAAGTATGGATTGCTGAAGACCTATTCTACCCCGGATCTTCACGGGTCTTGCTGTGTTGAGATATATTGCGTTTCTGGTCTTTCTAATCAACTGAATATCATTAGCATAGTGCACGTCGACGCAGGACTAGAGAGTCCTCTCACAGACTGGTCCCTGGGATGACACAGAGAGGTGTTTGGAGACTAAAAGGTAAACTCTAGAACAGATTTTACCGATCACGCCTACTATTCTTCAAAATACGTAAAAAAATAAGATATGACCACACCTGTCAACATATTTTCCTGGGCAGCTTTTTTAGAAAGTTGACTCTGTTACCTTCCAGTGTGAAAAATTAAAGCCCCGACAAGCAGTTGTGTATTCTGACGCCACATGCATAGTGATAAAGTGCTTCTAAAACTGTTCACGTTGGTGAATAGATTCTGCAAATCTCATTGTGTGACATGGCCGGGTCAACCTTGGGTCCAGGAACAGCTTCACAATCTGCCGAATTGCGATACCCATGGCATACCATATGTTCTCATTCTTTGACAAAGGTCGGATGAACTGTGTGCCACTCCTCTCCCCTCACCCCACCCCACCCCGACCCATCCCACTACACCACACCCCACCACACCCCACCACACCCCACCCCTTCGCCCGGTACGTTTGTCAAGTCGTTGCGCCGTGTGTTAGAGGCGTGTGGGTTGTCACCTTAAGATTACAGAGGATATTCATTTAGGAGGAGCGGAGGGATCTTTTGCATTTAGATATCGGCTTGCCACAAGTGTTGATAACATTACACAGGGACTAGAAGTAAAAAGCCCTTGAGCGCCACATACCGCTGTATGTCACAACAATAGATAAGAAAAAGAACACGAAAAATCAAGTCAAGCCTGGAGCATTACAACCGTGTTGTATAAACCTGGGCAGTGCATAAGGAGTTAGTGAGTTGGGTTTAACACCGCTATTAACCGTATTACAGTTATACAGTCAGCTCAAAGTGGGAGGAAAGCCCGAAGTGATGCACTTCGGCGAAACCCACGAGCACGGGTATTGTATTGACAAACCTAGAAACATGATTTGGGCGAACCGGGATACGAACCCACAATCATAGGTTTCTGGCGTGGCCAAGGGACGCAACTCTTCACAGCGAATCGCGCCCCCTCAGTAAATAAGGAAGAGAATTTATGGATGTCACAATAATTCTAGTTTCATCATAAAATAATATTTGTACTGATTATACCGTTTCCCTTTTTCGAAGAGATTTTCATGACCTTAACTGTTGTTTGAACTTTCCGGGCGAAACGAACGATGGATATGGAGTTAGTCCTTGTATTTTTGTGAAGTTTCATAACAGCAATTTTCCGGAACCTGGAGCTTCCAGACAAACGAGGTCATGGCTAACTGGGTTTCATTACACAGCAATATTTCACAAAGAATCCTGGAACATTTCTAATTAAGACAGAAATGATTACTTACGGGAAGCACTAATTCTATAAATATTTTTCCACGAAAGGTTTATGGTTG